ACCTGCATTGCTGAATGGGCATGAGCATCATCAGAATCCTAGGATTTTGCAGCTTTGAGCCGGGGTTTCGTTCTCGTCAGAGCCCGGTCTCTCAACTTTTCTGGCTCGACCCGTCGGTTTTGGCAGCTAGATTTCTGAACTGCTGCTCTAAACCCTAAACCCTAAACCCTGAACCCTAAACCCTAAACCCTAAACCCTCCAGATTTCTTCACTGATGCCGGACCATCAGATTCACAACGAGACTCCACGGGCGCACAATCACAAGGAGGACATACCAGCGCTTGAGCAAGTCGATCGAAAAAGGCGAGACACCCTGCAACCGAATTTTAGACGAACCTCGGCAGCAGAATTCTTGCGTTGACCTGTTTGATCAGGAGCTTCCTGACGCCGCTAAGTCCCCTCTGACAGAGGCAGCGCGAACTGCTCCGCACCACAGCTTTTTGCCAAAGCAGTCATAACTTACTGTTCAGGATGCGTGGATCAGCAGTGCTTCACATGAAAGCTTTTGCACCGGCTGGGATGTGTCTATGTAGATATTTACTGTATCAAAAGTATGTATGTATGTATGTATGTATGTATAAAATCAAGACATATATACATATATGTATATGTGCATGTGTGCCGGTATATGTATTTGTATGCATATAAACAGGTGTGCGAAGGGGTGCGGCGGGTCCGGACGAGCTGCCCCAGCCATGCAGCAGCCTCTTCAAGAGAGGAGGCCGTACCTGGGCGGACTCGCCCGAAACCCGCTGCTGGAGTCAACGGATGCATCGCAAGAGACTGGCACCAGCGTGTTGTACCTCCTGGACTTCATGCAGAAGGTTGAGGTGTTCCAGAACCTGTCCGAGGATGAGCTGCTACAGCTGGCAGAAGCATTCACTAGCCAGCATGCTGAAGACGGGGAGAAGTTGGTTCAGGAGGGCGATGAAGGGAGCGAGCTCTTCTTCATCGAGTCAGGGACCGTTTCGGTTCGCACAGAGGAGCGTGAGCTGACGAGACTCAGTCAGGGCCAGTACTTCGGAGAGACTGCCCTGGTTGAGAAGGCGCCCCGAAACGCATCGGTCTATGCCGTTGGAGATGTTCGGCTTCGAGTGCTCACCAGAGATCACTTCGAGATGTTCGATTTGCACCGAAAGTTGCATCTGGAGCTGAAGCATGCAAACGTGACAAATGGTTTACAGGAACTCCTTGGCGACTTGGTGACGCTACGAACGTTTCTGAAGGCATTGGCTTTGCTTGGAGGCTACCTGCTTTTGGCCATCCTTCTCTTCTCAAGCCTTGAAGGCTGGAATTGGGTTGACTGCGTGTACTTTGCCGTCATAACCTTGATGACTGTGGGCTATGGGGACTTTGCACCGAAGCACTGGGGCTCCAGGCTGCTGCTGGTGTTCTTCGTTTTGATTTCGCTTGTCATTGTCGCAACAAGCATCGGGGAGTTCTTGGAAGGTCTCGTGACCCTGGAAATTCGAAACGAGCGTGCGCGCAAGGCCCTGCAGCTAAAGCAAGCTCGGGTGGGCGTCTTTGACAAGCTGGGACAAAAGAAAGCTTGGCGGCGGAAGGCCTTGGGATGCTTGGCCGCCCTTGCCACTCTGCTCGGCATCAGTTCAGGGATCGCGCGAATTGCTGTGCAAAACTGTGCGACATGGGCTGATGCGCTGTATTTCAGTGTTGTTACCTTATCAACCATCGGCTACGGCGATCTGACTCCGATTGCCGAGCCTGGAAGCAGAGTCGTCATTGGAATCCTGGCTCGGAGATGCGTGAGCTTTTCTATTGTTGTACGTCATGGCGGTAGTTGATTCCAGTGTAGTGCGTGCGTATCAGGCTGCTCGTGAAGCGTGAACAGAGCAGAAGCCGGAAATGCTGCAAATGCGTCCCTGTCTTACGGTACAGTGCATTGCGGCAAGAACTGATTCGGAACAGAATACAATGTGTTAAGTTAAGAAGTGGACTAGCGACGAAGACGAAGGGAGCCAGAACATTTCTTTTGAAGACATCGGTTCTTAGACAAGCGTAGATGGAGCAGAGCTGATGAGAAGAAGCCCAGCAGAAGAGGCATCATCCCTTTAAAGCTATTGGTGGTGGATCGGGACAGTGAATAGAAACAGAGGAGGAGTGAAGTGGAGGGACGCGAGCAGTTAGTTTGTTTCGTGTTAAGCTTTTCAGCACCGCCGCAGGATTTCTGGCCTTGCTTGGGGTGCCTGTTTTCGGTATAGTCCTGGCCAAGATTGTGGAGATTGCTTATGGAAGAGCCAAGAGTAACAGCATGCCGTGCGTCGTGGGTGGACTCACAAACGAGAAGTTCGATCAGCTCGTCGATTTCACGGACAAGCTCTGGCGTGGAGGAGGCGCGAGGGGAGTTGGTTCCTAGCCTTAGCAACCAAACAAGGGCCCGTCTGTGATAGCGAGCAAAGTTTGTTGCTGCCGCATCTCGGTCTTATTTTTTCGTTCGTTCCGGTTGCAGACAGGCTACAATTCCCATCCTCAGCAAAGTCTACGGGAGCAGATAACTCCTTTCGAGTTCCTGTGCTTCATCTTGACTCAGAACGAGACGGTCTCCCTGGATGAAATCAAGCTCATCATGGCAAATTTTTCTGAGCTTGACGTCACGAAGACGGGTCTGCTGGAGCAGCAGGATGTAGATGAATGGCTGAAGCGGGGCTCTTGCAACCCAGCTGGTTTCAGTGCCTCGTCCTCTCCGCGGAAGGGCAGAAAGTTGTCAGTCATGACAGCTATGCGATCCACTGCAAGTTCCAGCTCTGGTGGCTTGGGTTTATCTCCAAGTTGACTGGCTGCTAAGTTTACTTCCCTTGGACTCGCTGAGTCTGGCAGTCGATCGCTTAAAGCGACTTGGCTCGACATCGCTCCCGTTCGCTGCACGCACTGCGGAGAAACCGTGCAGCGTCAGGCGATGCGGAAGCTGGTTTTGTGAATGTGTGCGTCCAAGATTTGAAAGGCAGAGGAGAGCGCAAGGCGAGTCCGAGCTCTTGAAGCAGCCTCTGCTTGCGGCTGAAGACACGGCCAGTGCTTTCAGGTGTTGCTGGAGGTCTTTCGTATCCGCTCCCACCAAGAAGGCACCGGGGAGTCCTGGAGCGAAGTGGCAGTGTTTTGGCAGAGTGGGCGCAGGAGCTGGCACCAGATCCTGCAACCGCTGTGGCGTGCCCTTGCTTGCCTTCGAGATGCTGCCCGGTGCGCCACTTTCTCAACAGCCCCACACAGAAAGTCAGACTTAAAGTCCAGGTCGTGCGACGGAAGCTCTCGGGACGACGGATGCTGATCCGTGCCCGATCCTTGAGTTCAATTTGTATCTCGAAAGAACTTGGATTGTTTGCAGTTTCTGTTCTCGCTTCTTTGAGGTCGGCTTGGTATCGGCTCTTGTTTCTGCGGTGGCTTCAGCCGTGGTCGTTCGTGCTGCAGTGGGTGAGGCTCGGCACCAAGCTCGTGCCGCAGTGTCCTGTGCTGGCAAGCGGCTGAAGCAGGCACCTGCACCGGTTCAACAGCCATCTTCCTGCGGGGTGGCTCGCAACTCTACGACCAGTTGTCAGGGACTCTGATTGTTGTCGTCGGCTTGCTGCAGATGCCAGCAGTGATTATGTGTATAGTTTCATTTCGTTTAACAGTAGCACCGATGCACAAACTAGTAGAATGTAGTGGTTTGTCTAAGTCTAAGTGCAAAACTTGTGCACCAGTCCTCCATTAGGTCTTTGTTCTCCCAGGTGTTCCTTGGCGCCTTGCTGGGACCCATCTCGTTGATCAGCACACCGGCCAGCTGCTCAGACGGGAATCGCTGGACCTTGAATTTGACTGTTCGGGCCAGCGCCCGAGTTTACACAGGCGAGCTGCAGATGGACCTGACCGACACGCTTGAGGCTTGTCGAGTCTGAGATGGAGGAAACTACTAGCACGAGCTCCCGCATGGCAATTGACAGGAGTGCTGCGGCGGCTGTGATGCTCTGGCAGACTGTCAAGTGCGCCGCGTGCAGTAGAGTCTTTGCCTATTTACTCTGCGAATGCGCGTAGTTGCTCGTAAGGCATGGATCTTCGAACGCATGGCAAAGCGCATGATCCTGAGTGGACGGAATCAGTAGATGAATCCAGAGCTGGTTCCGCCAGGTTGTCGATGGATTCAGTTCGATGACCCCGTGTGCAGGGAGGATCCCGGTGATTTGGGCCTGGCTCCGAGACATGGCAGTGCCTGCAGTGCCTGCAGTGCCTGAGCTCCAAAGTCCCTAAGGCTGCCGCTGCTACACGCACTGGGGCACAGCTGCGGCCTCAGAAGCTTCAGCGTACGGCGTGAGCTCGCCCAAGTCACAGGCCTATGGGTTCAAGCCCAAGTCCAACCTCGTATGGCTCACAGCGACCTAGCTGCCGAAGGCAGGCTTGGAGTTGTAGGCCGTGTGGCATGCGCCACCGAATTAATAGTTGCATGGCGTGGGTCTGACATCTGAGCAAGATTGACTGTCTAGCTTTGTGCTGCATCGATGCTAGGATCATCGAGTAGCCGGTCCTCGTCTCGCAGACATAGCCATCAGCCAGAGTTAATACTTGGCGATGGATTCATTAAGAATTTGGATCGGTTCCAAAGTCCGCGTGTATGAGCCGAAACACCGTGCTGTCAATGCTCTTTCTATGCAAGAGAGCTGAAGCAGAGCGGGCGAGCCCGGGGAAGAAGGGCTCATCTCAGCATGGCTGCATCGCCGGGCTTGGAGTTACGTTGGGGATTGGGCTCTGTTTTCCGTTGTCCTTGGCACAACCCCTTCGCCGGGAGCCTATAGAGTCATGTTTGATGCGGCCCTGAGCAGCATGTCTGGTCTTAGGTTTCTTGACATGGGCAACAGTGGTTGCTGTCTGGATCCCTAGTTAAGTTTGCACAAGGCTTTGGTGTGCTAGGCGCCATCCCGGGATCTGAGGTGGGGATCGGTCATCAGACACAGCCGTGGAGGATGGCAAGGTGCAGTGAAAGCGAATCGACGGAGCATGGAGTCTTCCTCTGCACATACTCGTAGCGACAGGCCATGTACACCTACGCAGAGGCCTGTCGCCAAGGGACTCGGCAGCGACTTCGAGCGACTTCGCCCCTGCTTTGGGCGTCCTGGGCTTTTGCAGACTCTCAAGTTCCCCGATGGCGTCGCAGCAGAGAAGCCCGGGGCCCCGTGGCCCGCGGAGCTAGGAGTCTCCCCTGCCCCCCCGTTTTTGGGGCGGTTTCTTCTCTCCCGTTGGAGGCTCGACGAGGCGGAGCTGGAGACCAGCGGGTGCGGAGCCGAGAGAGCTTGGCTCCTCCGCTTTTTCGCTCTCCTCTGCCTTTCTCTTCTTTCTGTTTGCCGCTTTTCTTCCGCTTAGGCCTTCCATGAAGAAGGCTGTGGAGTCCATCTTGGCCGCGAAAGAGTCGGTTCCAGTTTTCAAGGCGCTCTTTGACTCTCTCCGGGGTCTCCCGCGTCTCTCGCGTTTTTGTGCTGGGCCTGGGACCTGCCACTGGGTAGGAGCTGCTGAGCGACATCAAAGCAATGCAGAAGCCGAGCCAGAAGCACCTGGTCAGCACGTAGGGCATAAACGGAGCTGACGAAATCTCCTCCCGTGGAAATGCAGCTGCACCGAAGGTTGGATCTCGATGAGGTAGCGTCGAGTCCTCAGCCTCGCATCGATTCTGACACCTTCTAACAGCTGCTAAGCCGGAAGTTGACAGGGAGAAAGTTCAAGAAGCATCCGACAAGCTGGCAGCGCCGCCTCCTGAGAGGCAGCCCTAGAGAGACTGTGCGACTGGTACTTGCTCGCAGGTCCAAAATCCATCTGTATCTCTGCAGCGTCCAACAGAAAGTGACCGAGGCACCTTCTGTTGTGCGCGTAGCCGACTTCTAGCACCATATGCAGGGGACCGAAGCAATGGGGCGGTCGTGTCGCCCGTGATCTATTGATCGGCCTCAACTGTTTCTCCTGTCTTGTAGAGGGAACTGGATGATGCAACAGACCTTTATTTGCTGTCGGCCGTCGATTTGTCCTCCCCTCTCACGGAATGCTCTTAGGAAGCTGATGCCTGTGTGAGTTCGGAGGCCAAGGATCCCGATCTGGCGAAGAGCAGTGCCCACTTCAAGTGGATCCTGGTGATTGACCGGGAGGCGGCTCCGGACTTCAAGGCCCAAGGGGTCCGAGGGGCCAGGGCACTTGCAGGCGTGCCCGGATCCCGCCGACCCCCCCAGGTCATGCACGCGTACACGCCGGTGATTTCTCCAAAGGGCACCGAGAAAGAAAAGACGTGCGCTCGGGCCTTGGCCGCTCTGCCGACTCGAAGCCACAAGATGCAGTGAAGCGCTGCGAGGCCGTCATGTAGATCGTCTGTCCCCGAGATTATGACCGGGATGTGCTGGTGTTGTAATGAAACTCTCACAGATGTTTATCAGTTCCAAGCTGAAGCCGCTGTACAAATGTCTCACTCAGTGCCTTTGAGGCCTGCGATTGTTAAGGCTTTCTACCAGCAGCGGCTGTTCGACCTAGTGCCAGGAGCATGCTGAACAGGTTCCGTTGAATTGTGATGGGTACGAGCTTCTTTCTACTGCTGCAAGACAGTCCTTCGATTAGTCTGCATGCATGCCGTCTCTTAAACCGGCAAAGCAGGCAGGCAGCTCTTTTTAGAAGCCTGATTCGCAAAAGCGTGATTCGACTCGAAAATGCAGCAGTCTCGCACCTGGAGTTTGCTTGTGCTTTAGTTGATGTAGCGTGTTCGGGCAATTCGTTCGAAGCGGCCCATCAAACAGAAGTCAACGTAGTATGGACACTTGCTTGGTAGGACCTCACTTCATTACTCACGGAGCCCCCACTGTGCAGACTGAGTCAATTTGACGGTGTCAGCTCCACCACCGTTCTCAGAACACTTCATCACGGGTTGGTTTGACAGCCATGTCTTTGCAAATGTCGCTGAATGCATGTGCCTTTCAAAGTGAAGGCCCTGTGGTGCATTTGTCGGCAGCCTCCAGTCCCCTGAAACAGCGGTTGGGTGCAGACATTTGTCTCGTCATCGATGTTTCGGGTTCGATGCAGTTACCTGCGACCGTTAAAGACCGAGAAGGTGCAGAGCTGAGTATTCTGGATGTCGTTGTTCACAGTTGCCGAGCGGTGATCCAAACCTTGACGGAATCTGACCGGATTGGCATCGTGACATACTCCGATCGAGCTCAAACAGTGCTCCTATTGACAGCGATGGACGAGATTGGAAAGTCTCAGGCTGAGGAAGGACTTAGCAAGCTTCGGGCTGATGGCCAAACCAACCTTTGGGATGGCCTTCACACTGGGCTCGAAATGCTGCGGAGCGGCGAGCGTTCCGGTTCCATGGCATCAGTCCTTCTGCTTACAGACGGGGTTCCCAACGTGGACCCTGCCGGTGGACACCTGGCTGCACTCGAGGACTACAGACGCACAGGTGGAGGCAAGCTGCCTTGCGCGCTGCACACCTTTGGATTCGGTTACGAATTGGACTCCCATCTGCTGGATGACCTTGCTTGCGTGGGGGGAGGCCTTTATGTTTTCATTCCTGATGCCGGTTTCGTTGGCACTGCATTAGTGAACTGCAGTGCCAACGCCGTGACAGCTGCTGGCCACAATGCAGAGCTTGTCTTACACCTGGAGGGCACAGTGCGTTTGGAGCACTGCTTTGGCTACCCTGTGCAGCAGGAAGCGGATGGTATTTGTCGGATTCAACTGGGATCAATCCAGCTCGGACAGACCAAGGACTGGAACGAGAGTTAGCGGTTTCTGATGAGATTTCTCCGTTCAAACTTGCAGCCGTGTCTTGTGCCTGCATCTCTTGCAGCAACTTCTCGGCTCAATCGGCAGAACTCAATGCAGTGGTGGGATGTGGACGCTTTTCGAAAGGCGCTGTACCGAGCAGTGCCATCCTGCTTTGCTAGACCATGAGCTGCCAGCCTCTCATCGTGCCAAGAGCTATGCCGAAGTTCTGCATCAGGTCAAGAGACTGTCTCCAGTGCTGGAATCAGTACAGAGTGTTTGTGGCCCCTCGGAAAGGAGCCTCGCCGTTTGCTTTGAAAGGACTTGCTTTGCAGCAGTGGTGTCGTTGCTTACGGCTTTGCACGTACGCTGCCCGTATGTTCCTCTCAGCACCAACTGTCCTGGTGTTGGGAGACCCATCCAGAGGATTGCAGTGTTGCTCAAGATGGCGTCTGTTTGCTGCATTCTGTGTGGCTCCAATCTCGCGGGTTTGTCGAGGTCTGCATGGGAAGCATTTCGGGGAAGTGATACCGACCAGCGCGTGATCGATGTGGAGGCGTTTGTTGAGCAGCACGGGCCAGCCGTAGCTGGCGTACCAGGAGCTGCAAAGGCTGCGACTCCAGACAGCCAGGACACCATCCACATCATCTTCACGTCCGGTTCCACCGGCCGACCAAAGGGGGTGCTGGGTCTTCACGCTGCTACGCTCAACCGACTTCACTGGCAGTGGACCAGGTTTCCTTGGAAGGATGGAGAGGTGGCTTGTGCTCGAACTCCTCTGGTGTTTATCGATCATGTGGCTGAAATTTTTGGATCTTTGTTGGCAGCCAGGGGACCTGTCCTGGTATGTCCATTATCAACTACGCACTCTGCTGGCTTATTGACATCAGTTCATGAGTTTGCAGTCACAAGGATCGTTCTGACGCCTACGTTGTTGGGCATTCTTCTTGTCGAAGCCACGAATCTCGAGAAGAGCCCTTGGAGGTCATTGCGAATGCTGACGTGCTCTGGTGAACTGCTGACGAGAAGCTTGGTTGCACAAGCCCGCGTCCAGATTCCGGAAGAATGCAAACTACTAAACATTTACGGCTCCACCGAAATGGCTGGTGATGCCACGTGTGCAGAGTTGCCCTTTGATGATGTATCAGATCACACGGCTCTGCTGGTGCCGTGTGGCAGAGCAATTGACGGTGTAAACGTGCTTCTGAGACAAGAGACTGTTAGTGACGACATTTTGAACTCGTGGGACGATGTTAGAATCGGAGAAGTCTACGTGACAGGCGAGTGTTTGGCTGGTGGATACTGTGGCGAGCTCGGGGAAGTCGATGCTTTCCCTAGCGTCGATGGCAAGCGTTACTTCAGGAGCGGCGATTTGGCCATATGGCGGGACGCGAAGAACCACGAGCAGACCTTATACGTCTTGGGGCGCTCGGGTCAGATGGTGAAGGTCCGCGGGCAGCGTGTGGAGCTGTCCTCCGTGGAAGCCGCTCTTTGCTCGAGGGAGCTCGCCGAGAGTTTGCCTAACCAGACTCAGACGACTCAGACCGTCGTTTTCACGGAGTCCGCGTGCTGGCTGTCGGATTCGGACCAGGGCCCAGAGCTTGTTGCCTTTGGCGTCTTGGCTCCCGGTCTGCGGCAGTCACATGAACTGATGTCTTTGGTCCGCGAGGAATTGGCAAAGTTGCTTCCTTCCGCGGCAGTTCCTGCAGTCATCATTCCTGTGTACTCTTTGCCTAAGCTTGCAAGTGGGAAGGTCGACCGCCGTGCGCTGAGCACACTGAGCCGTTCAGAGGCATTTCCACGTATCCAGAGCCGAGAGGAAGTGTCGCAAATGGAGACGGTCCTGAGAGAGATTTGGCAAAGCTGCTTGAGCCCACAGTCGGTGTCGCTTGCGCACGCTGTGCCAGATGGCCAATCCTTTTTTACCGCTGGTGGTGACTCAGCGGGCTTGATGAAGCTGGCTTCGCGACTGCGGCAAGTCTGCCTCGAAGACGCGCCCGATTTTGATGATGTGGTGGCGGCCGCCTCAATCTCATTTTCTGCTTTGCTGCAGCTTCTGTCAAGCTCGGATCGGACAAGTAAGCGACGGCGTGTTGCAGACCGTGAAGATACAGATGGCTCCGGCAGTATCCTCCCGAGACAAGCTGAGTGGAGCGAGCGGAGCGCCTCGAGAGACTGCATGTGCCACACGCGTGGGGGCTCCTGCTTCGCGCCGGCCTCCGTGTTCTCGCGGACCTTGCAGGGGGTTCGCCCGCTTTGGCGAGGAGAAGCTCTGTTTGTCTCATTCGATTTTCCTTCTGGTAGGTCTTACAGCATTTTGCCGAAGCCCAAAACCCAAAATCCCATGTACACAAGTGTAGAGACGTGAGCTGTGCCTGACGGACCCTGCCTTCCCTGCGGCTTCAGTTTGACGAACCAAGGATTTACAGCAGTGCGTGGATGCGCCTCCATTGGTTGTTCTGGCACCTGCAGGGGATCGTACTGAACCAAAGGCTTGGCTGCTGCTTCCAGGCAATGTGCAGCCTTTTTGCAGGCTTTTTTTTCATGAGTCCTGATCCCAACATGTTGGCTGCAGTTTTAAGCCCAACTGCTTGCAAGCCACAATCAATTCTCAAAGACATCGACAATGTTGAGTTGAGTATGTCGAAATATTCCTGCTGCAAGAACGCTGAAAGTTCATGTAATGTTTCATCTGGTCAGTATCGTTCTTGGCTTTAAAATTGCTGTCCGGCTTGTTCAGAGCGTGTGCGACTTGAATAGAGCGCGTCAGGGTTCAAAGTTCTAAGTTCTACAGCTATAACTTTTGACACGCTCTGTAATGTTTGTAAATCTTGTTCGCTCTTTGGTGCGTAAGGCTCGTGGGATCTCACTCGAAGCAGCTGTGTTGCTTTGAAGCCGAGCCTCGGCTGCAAGTAGACTCAGGGGAGAAAGCTGCAGGGAGCAGAGCCTGAGCTCCTGAGCTCCTGAGCTGTGGGTTCTTGGCATGGCTAGCCCGGCTAGCCTTTGAGGACGGGGATCTCACTTAACGGATGCTGCCTTCTGCTCGCCCCTTTCAGGAATTCTCTGGGACTCTAGGCCCCAACAAGCTCGAGCTCTCCCAGAAGCTCAAGGCCTCTCCAACCCTCACGAACAAGCCTCGACACGGCAGGGTCGGCAGCAGTGGGCACAAGGCTAGCGGCTAATTGCTTTTGGATCCCGCCGGTTACTGTAGTAGGGACCCCCAAAGGCAAAAGCACGAGCAGGCGACACGACCACCTATGTAACTCAAGGGTTGATTGACATAACGGCTGTTGACTTGATTAAGCAGCGCCAGACAAAGAGCAGATATGCTTTGAGATCCAGGAGACTGGTGTTGAGCACTGGCGGATGACTCTTTCAGACCGTATTGAGGGTGGCTGCGCCTGTTCATGCACAGCCGATCGCTTTCAAGCATACGCAGTGTGCTGCTTGACATAAACAGTGTAGGAAGGACAGGGTCCGGGTACCAGTTCGAAGTACTTGGAGCAGTGTTGCATGTTTTTCGTTTGATTTTTGTCCTCTGCGAGGCTACGACGGGAAGATGCATTGCATTGCGATTGAGTCCGGTCACTTGCTATGGTCATCCTCCATAGCCTTGCCTGCAGACGAAAACACGGAGATCAAGAGTGCTCCCGTCGTTCATGATGATTTGGGCATCGTTGTGGCTGGCACGCATGGTGGTGTAGCTGCCGCCCTTTCACTTGATGGGCATTTACTTTGGCGGTTGCAGTTGCCGGGTGCGATCTTTGCAGCTCCCCTGCTCGCACCGAGCAGCGGTGAAATGTCACTGGGACCGCAACGGGGGACTCATGTGTTCATTTCTCTCTCTGCAGAACTTGAGGTACATTTGCTTGACGAGGGGCCAGGCAGTCTTCAAGTTTTGCTGCAATTCGCCGACCAGCGAGGCTTGTCTGAGTTCTGCTGTTGTCACACAATTTTGGTGGAGAACATCCTGCAGCTTCTAAGGACCTTACCAGCACACCGGTACAACTTTGGTCTCTCCGGATGGCCTCCCCAATCTTCGCAGCTGTCTTCGTGGATGCCTTGGCATCCCTGCTGGTGGTAGAGGTGGAGGGAAGGCTACAGATGCTTGCAGAGCAGGCAGAGCAGGATCCGCAGGATCCGCAGGGACGCAGGGCCCGCGCCCGGACCCCGCGGCGGGCTTGGAGCCGTGCTTTGGATGGCCAGGCCTTCGCTGCTCCGTGCCTTCGAAAAGACCAGCAGTGGGCCTTCATCGGCACACATGGCGGCAGCGTGTCGGCCATTCGCCTGACTGATGGCAATGTCATGTGGCGATGCGAGGTGGGAGACGTCGTCTATGGCTCACCTTTTGTGGTGAACTGTTCCGAGGGCCACAGCGGACCGGCAGAACAGCTCGAGATCGAAGATTCACTTCTGTTTGTCGCGACTCGCTGTGGAGCCCTCTGTGTTCTGGATGCTGCGCATGGCACGCATATCACACGTACTCAGTTGGAGGGAGAGGTGTTTTCATCGCCTGTTGCTTGGTGCACTCGTGCAACAACGAGGGATGCCCAGCACGAGGAGGCTGCACCTGTGCTCCATGTAGGTATCGGCTGTCGAGACAACCACGTGTATTGTTTCGTGCTAGCATGAAGCACTCTCCGAGAGCATCCAGCTGAAGCGAATGGGTGGCCAGGAAGAGGACATTGGCAGCACAACTCGGAATCATTGCACGGACCCAGCAGGAGCCTCTGGAGGGAAGTCTCAATCTCACCTTGGGCTCGGGTGCGTCTGGGGTGGCACACGGCTCGCTGATGGACTGGGAGATGGCTTGGCTGCTTGGCCGCTCAGCCTTGCCTGGTGATCGCAGAGGAGTCGAGTTTCTTCAATGGCATCGAAGATCTTGTGCACATGTTGCCGGATCCGCTGATGCAGCTCGGCTCAGGGCCTTGGGAAATGCTGTGCTAAGGATTCTTGCCTTTGGTAGTCTGCTGCTGGTGCTGCCAAGTCGTCATGACCAGGCACAGACTTAAGTATTGTTGTATGGTCTGTCTTGGTTGCTGAGGTTGCGTCCTGGGGAGATGTTGTAGCTCCACGGAGGAGCTGCCTAGCATTTCCTGCAGCATAGTGGTATTACGTGGGAAAGTCAAGCGACGGGATCATCCGCGAAGCCAGGCGAGTCCCTTTCATCGCATTGGACAGAATCAAGCACATAATTTCCCATCCTTCGACCTCAGTCCATGGACCGCTGCAGATCCAAAAAGCTGTCGCCGTAAATGCTGATGCCTCAACTCTGCGCCTTGTCTCTGGCATTCACAGGACGTCGTCCTTCGTCTTGCCGGACCAAACACGGGCAAACTGTTGCGGCCCGAGCTGCGACGGCAGAAGGCGACTCCTCGGCCCCTGAGCTGCGCCGCCGCGCCGCGCGAGGCTGCGAGTCGCCCTGAGCTACGACGGTCCGGACGAAGTTGGGCATGCAGAGGCCCCGTCCCGGCCCCCTGTTTTGAAGGAGCCTGCGCTCTCTCTCGCTCTCTCTCGCTC